TTACAAAAATCTTATTGAAAAAGTTTGAAAACACTTAAAAAAAATTACTATTCTAAAATTCTCAAAAAAAAATAAATAATTGTAAACGCTCCTGGGAAAGAATATAAGAAATTACCGGTAAATCAAAATCGTGCTTAGGTACCCTGCCACACACGATCAAAGTGGATAATAACAATATAAATAGTTCTCAAACAAATTCACGAATGCAGTTGGACCCGATGAAATCAATGGTAACATAGTTTTAGATTGCTTTGAACAAATAAAATATATTCTTATTAAAGTCTTTAAATTATCAATAGAACAAAGAGTCTTTGCTGATCAATTGAAAATTGCTCATTCCACTTTTCAAAGGTGGTGACAAATTTGATATAAATAATTACCTGCCTATTTCTTATTTTTCTTCTATATTTTCAAAAATACTAGAAAGAATCATGTTCAATAGAGTATTTAATTTTTTTAGTTTAAATAATTTATTATACAAAAATCAGTTTGGCTTTAAAAAGAATAACTTAAATGATTATGCAATTATTAGGTTGTTACGTGAAATCTCCAATTCTTTTAAACAATTTCAATTCACATTAGGAATTTTTATCAATCTTTCAAAAGCATTTGATACTGTCGATTATGATATTTTGCTTTATAAACTTAGTTATTACGGAATAAATGAAAGAGTAATTAAATGGTTTCAAAGTTACTTATCGAACAGAAAACAATTTGTTTCTAGTAATAAACATAACCATAAACAGTTTATAAATGTTTCATGTGTTATTCCGCAAGGTTTCATTTTAGGCCCTCTTTTGATTCTAATATATATCAAAGACTTGCATAAAACATCAAATCTTCTAAGTATTATGTTTAAGTATATTATATTGCTTATATAAACTTATATAAACTTATTTCTCTCTAACAGTGACATCTATCTACTATTCTCCATGATGAACAAAGAACTTTAAAACATATCTAAATGGTTTAAAAGTAACAAATTAACATTAAATGTAAGCAAAACAAAATGGATTTTTTTCCATCCGCTCTCCAAAAAACGTTTTTTACCCCCAAATCTACCAAAAATTCTTATTGACCATATTGAAATAAAAAGAGATTCTGTAACTAAATACCTGGGGGTTTTCAATGACGAGAACACCACATGGAAACATATATGCTCGAAAGTTTCAAAAAATATCGGAATTTTATATAAGACGCGTACTCATTTAAATAAAATTAATTTAACTAAACTTTATTACTCTTTTACCCACAGTTATATAAGTTATGGAGTTATTGCCTGGGGTAGCACTGATCAAAGCAAGTTACAATGTCTCTATCGCTGTCAGAAACATGCGATTCGTTTAATTAATTCTGCGGATCGATTCGTACATTCCTCAATATTTTTCAATCAAATGAAAATCCTCGATATATATAAACTAAACGTATATAAAAATTTATCTTTTGTTTATATGTGGAAGCATGATTTATCCTTTAGTTTTTAAAGATCTTTTTATTTTGAAACCATTAAGCAAGTTTAACATGAGGAATAATAATTATTTAAATGAACCATTCTGTCGAACAAAATTCAATTAATTTTGTATCACGTGCGGATCATCTCTGATGAGCTGCACGATAAGTGATACAAAATTGGACAAAATTATTTTGCCTAACTTCGACTTACCCCCAACTTATCCTGTTTTAAAAAATAAATTAAAAAAAAGAGACCTCATTCTTTCTATTGAAAATATCTTAAAAGAATATTTTTAATTTATCTAGTGATAAAAAAAAAATTGTAATAATTTTATTGTCATGTATGTTTAAGTTTTGTTTTATACTTGTTTACAATTTATTTTCATTTATGTAAATACCATTTATTGTTTTTATATGATTTTTTACGTACTCTTATTGTAAAAAGGTGTTTTTATAATATTTTACGTACTCTCTTTTGTGAAAGGCTTCTGACGATAAGATCATTGTGATCTTCTTTTAGAAGCCTTATTTGTATTTGAAAAATATTTAATTTATATATATTACGTCAAATGTAAACTAAACAAAACAAAACAAAACAAAAAAAAATTAAGTATTTTATTCATTTATATTTGAATAAAACATTTGCTCTTCCAGTGATGGATATAGGATTTTTTGGTGTTTGAGATAACTTTCAGAAATGGAGCAAACTCCAAATATATGCATGTTTATACTTATGTCAAATAACAAGATCCGTCACTGCTCTCTTCCGTTGGTTTTTCGAAAATTTTATTTAAAAGTTATTTAAATTTATTTAGTTATTTTAATTTATTTCGTGTTTTCCTTTTTAATTTAATTATCTTATTTTGGATTTAAATAAAACGTTCTTTATTCCGTTTTTATTTTAATTGCTTTGTTTACTATTTAACTAAAAGGTTCACATTTCAAATTTAATAAAAACGTTCTCCTTTCCGTTGGTTTTTTATTATTCTCTTTTTAATTTAAGTATTTTATTTAGAATTAAAATAAAAAGTTTGTTTTGCCGTTTTTTAGTGTATCTGAAATAGCAAACAAAATTAGGTTATAAAATTCTGAAATCGGCAAAAAAAATGCCAAACACAGAAACTGTCAGGTCGGCAGTTAGGTCGACATTGCAGAATGCCAACCTCAATTCCTATGATTGATAAAATAAATAATATGATATTTTTGAACATTATTAAGTTCTAGAATACTTTATATCGATAAATATCATTAAAATTGCAAGTGTTTATACAAAACTTTTTAATAATGTTATTTTTCCTGGTGACTTGTAGATAATAAAGTTGTCTTAAAATTCGGTATGACTGTAGATATTCTGGCAAACGGAATAAATCAATGTGTTAATCTGACAAATAAAATGAAGAGCTCCCATGCAAAACCAGACAAATTCAATGTTTTCTAAAAACGAGATTATGTGTAGGTATTATTTCTAAAAACGAGATTATTAGGTAGGTATTAAACGAGATTATGTGTATGGTAGACAATGATTGTCATTGGTTTATGAATGGTTTTACATAGAAAAGTTACTAATATTATGCAAAAGCAGACAATTCCAGTTTAACATTTCGTGCAAATTCAAAGAAATCCAACAACCAATCAACTTATCGTAAAAAAACGCTTGATGTTTACAACTTTGGAAACTAAAAATTAAAAAAAAAACAATAACGGTTACTAGCTGCATTTTACGTTGTTTTTATTTTTAAATTGTTGCAAATTAGTTATCAATAGTTTAGAACTGTTAATGCAAGCTGTGAATATGTATTAGCGGTTGTAGAAAGCGTAAAATTATTAAAACAAAAAAAAGAAAGTTAATTTTACCGATGTTAAGGATCGTCCATAAAGTACGTACGCTCGGAGGGAAAGAGGGGATCTGTAATTGGCGTATATAAGATAGGAGGGCAGTGGGTCAATTATAAAAGAAAGGAGACACTAAATTTAAAAAAATATCATAAAATGTTAGAGAAATAAGTTAAAAGCGTAGGTACTTTTAGGGAGGTGGAGGGTACTCAAAAAAGCGTATTGCAAAATGCGAGAAAAAAAAAAGGGGGGAGGGCGACGAAAAAAAAGCGTACGTACTTTATAGACAACTCCTTATGTTGATTTTAGTTCTAATTCTAACTGTGACTCTTGAATGTAATGTAAAAAATAGACTCGGCGTGTCAGTGGGTCCACGGCACCCATTCCCTACACACTGTTATGGACTTTTGACTATAATTACTGCTTATTGCTTTACATTACTAGTCTTGCACATCTGTCCTAGATCATCTGTTAATACACTGAGGTATAATAACATCGGCCCAACAATTTCTGAAACTTGATTGATGTCTTATTACATCTGCGTAAAAAGTATATAATTACTACAGATGTAGTTACAACTTTTCAGTTATAACAACATCTGCACAACTACAGTATAATAACAACATCTGCACATTAAGTATAATAACATCTGCACAACTACATCTACAGATTTTACAGATGTAGTTACATCTTTTCAATTATGTTGAATATAACTTAATATAAAAATTATTAAATATGAACGTGTTATTTTGACCAGATGTAGTTTCATATATGATTTTTTTTTCAGATATAGTTACACCTGGAGGAAATTCTTCAAGATGTTGTTGGACTTTGAGAAAAATTAACAGATGTAGTTACATCTTCCTAAAGATGTTAGAAGTCAGTGAATTTCCAGGTGATAATGGACAAATGTTGTTGAAGTAAAAAAAAAAAAAAAAAAATATATATATATATATATATATATATATATATATATATATATAGATGATCTTCAACAAAAGGATACAGATGATCTTGGACTGCTCTACAGATGCAGCAATCTTTTACCTATACACGCACAATGTGTAATTTTGCAAATTTGGATCGACTTTATTCAAAACTTATTTATAATTTATGCGTATGGACCGGCAAAAGCTAACACTTTCAATTTTAAATGAATGTAGAATGTTGGGCACATCTTTACAGATAAACACATAATTAAAACACATCTTTACAAATAAACACAGAAGAAAAAAGCGAAAAAATCCTCCTAGGAGTTAAAAAAGATGCCGAACAAAGAATTTATAATTCTTCTGTCGGCGTCCTTTAGGATAACATTATTGGAAATATGACAAGATTTAAGTCATTTTTAAAATATACTTAAAATATATTTTAAAAAATGAAACTGGATGTGCTATTTTTAAAGTATATTATAGCATTGAAGTTATTTTGTACAATATCAGTGACAGTTTTTCAAGCAGAAAAATGCGTTAAAAATAATAAAAAACATTAAAATCAATAATGACACAAAATTATTTAAATGATTTATGAATGTCATCTATTGAAGCCAAAATGGTAATGAAAATTAATTTCGGAGAGGTTATTTATTTGTTTGCAAACTGCTAGGCTTGTAAAGCAAAATGATAAAGGCATTTGCCTTTATCATTTTGCAGACCTCTAAATCTATCTTGCTGTTTATGTGCTATATGTATATATAACTAAATAAAAAAAGCAACTTTATGAGTAAATTTTTAACGTTTAAAATACATATCGTTACATGGATAAAATTAACACTAAATATAATATATTCTAAAATATATAAACATAAAAATATAAATTTAAAAGTTACAACTAGTGAGCAGCTTTGTGTAACAGAACTTAAAATCATAGGTTTTTAGTAATTTATAAATATAACACATTAACTATAAAAATATGTCCACCAATTTATTAAATTAAAAATATATTTAGAAAATCTTGGTTGTGCTAAGTATATCATAACTGTGAAATTTCCTAAATGAAAAAAAACACAGGTTAAAATTTATTATTCAAAGTAAATATGTGAAGTTATATAGAACCTGATAATATTCATAAACTTCAAGATACCTTAGATATAATTTCCTTTAGCTCTTTATAAGCTCGCTCTAAATCGTCATTAACTATGGTAAAGTGGTAGGAACCAGCTTCTGTAGCTGGATTACGAAAGAAAAAAAAAAAAAAAAAAAAAAAGATACATGCAAAAGTATTTTTTATGATATATCAACTGATGAAAAAACCGGAAAATATACACTAGCGTGCCAAAGTCTTTGGTCATACTCCGCGTATAAGGTGGTCATATTGACGAGAGTAAAATCTAAATAAAAGTTGGGTATATCTGTTGTTTACTAAAAATTATAGCGTATCAAAATATTGTTGAGAAATCTATTAGTAATAAATTGTTAAAATGAATGAGCATCATTTGTTTTTTGGAGACGATTCGCACACTGACAAAAGACTTTGCCACACTGTATATATAATTCCATAGTATATATAATCAAAATGTACCATAATCTAACTCTGCTTTAGCAGATTCAAGTCTTTTTTGAATTGCTTCTTCTGTTTCAGTACCACGCTCTCTTAACCTTCTTTCCTAGTTATGTACAAAAAATACTTTTATCAATATTCTTATTTTCTTTCTACCTATTTTCACCTGCCTTAAATTTCTGAAGGGGCCACTACAGCCAAAGAGGGTGTAGTGGCCCCTTTGGCTGCAGTAACTCTGTTTCATTATTATTATTTTTTTTTCCATTTATCTTGCAGTGATCCCCTCTCCCTCTTTTGGTGATTCTAGATACACATAAGCATGCACATTATTGTGTTTTAGACAGCTTAAAAGGTTAGCTCTTTTAGTAAATAATTTTCACATCATTTTGTTTATACCATTCTAACAACAGTTTCCCATTCAGACTTGAAGCCAAATCAAAATACAGTCCAATTATCATGCAAATTTTCCTTAATGTACATTTAAAAAGTATTTATATTAATTTATACACTTTCTTTCAATATGCATTATTATTTTTTTTCAATAAACAGCATTCTATGAACAAAATACAAAATATAATAAAATTTATAACAAAATTTCTTAAGACAACAACCGAAAAATAAGACCTAATAATTATTTCAATTACACACTTTAAAATGTTAACGTAGGATAGATAGTTTTAGTTTTTCAGAAATCATTAAAAAACTCATGCTGAAAACAGTGAATCAATATGATCTTAGTCAAGGCTGCATTAAACAGTAAGAATAAAGCTGGTTTATGCTCAAAACGACCTTATACTAAAACTATCTATAAAATCTTACCAACTCCTCAAGGCTAGGCGGCTTGATAAATATAAGCACACAGTGAAGGTCGGTCTTTTTAATACTTTTAACACCCTAAAAAGTTAATGCATAAAGAAAATTATATTTTATTTATTGAATAATAATATTTATGTACAGAAAAGGGCACACAGAAAAAGATAAAAAATACATGAATTTCAATTCTAAATTAAAAAAAAAATTACACAGAAAGATTTTAAATTTTTTTGTGATTTATTAGCTTTACCTGTGAGTCAATATCCAGTATGCATATTTTTCCAGTTTCTAACACATCATGCACAGCCTTTTTACTTTAAAATAAATTAAATGACATATATATATATATATATATATATATATATATGTATATATATATATATATATATATATATATATATATATATATATATATATATATATATATATATATATATACACACATATATGTATGTAAGTAAGTATGTATGTATGTATGTATGTATGTATGTATGTATGTATGTATGTATGTATGTATGTATGTATGTATGTATGTATGTATACTGGCATAAAATGTTAACTCAAAAATCCTTGTTTAGAGAAATCAATTATTTAAGTTATCTTCCAATTTAAAACTTTTATACTCTTAATAAATTGCATTTGGTGTTGACATTTAAATACACCATAGTTTTAAGTATTTATTTAAGAAATTATTTAAAGCTCTTACTTTTTTTAAATTAAAACCTTTAAATTAATATATATATATATATATATATATATATATATATATATATATATATATATATATATATATATATATATATATATATATATATATATATATATTTATAATATATATATATATATATATATAATATATTATATATATATATATATATATATATATATATATATATATATATATATATATATATATATATTGTTTTGAAATATTACCTTGTTCCATATTTATTTCCACTAAATGTTGCGCTTTCTATAAACTCACCAGCTTCAATCTTTTGGTTTATAGCTTCCAAGGTTGTAAAGTGATAGTCTGCAAAATTTAAACATATATTTAAATTATATATATATATATATATATATATATATATATATATATATATATATATATATATATATATATATACATATATATATATATATATATATATATATATATATATATATATACATAATTTAATATATAATTAATAAGAATAACCCCCTCAACTTGAGGGGGCCACAAACTTTACATGGTCATAAAAACTGAACACTGAATAATTCAAACATAAAATTTGAAATCTGTCAGTGAATATATAACTAGTTAATATTTATGAAAAAATAAATAATTTAACTCATTATATATATATATATATATATATATATATATATATATATATATATATATATATATATATATATATATATATATATATATATATATATATATATATATATATATATATATATATATATATATATATATATATACATATATATACATACATACATACAAGTTTTAGATTGATTTTATTATCTAGTTCATAAAACTCAAAAACTTGACAGCATTGCTGTTTCACTACCAACTAGAATTCTGTCACATTCTGTATAGGCATGGCATCTCTTTAGAATGTGATATAAACATGGCCAATGTTTTTGGCAGAAACAGATGATCTCACAAAAAACCATAACTTTTCAATATTATATGAAAACATCATACAAGAAAAAGCCAAACTTCTTGGTTGTTTGTTCATTTAAGACATGTTCACTTAGAGAAGTTAAAAAGTTAAAGGTTAGTTAAAATTTAATTGTATGAAAAATTAGAAATATTTAATTTTATGTGTGTTACATCCCATATCTTTAGATCAAAGTACCTGATAAACTGAAACAAGCATACATAGCTCTCTTTCTCCTTTTTTGTTAAAATTTTAAGACACTTTGAAGCTAAACATTTTCTAACTGAACAAAATAAGACATTATTCGATATTCTTTTATCTTATTTTTGAAAAATTTATTTTATTTTTCTTTGCAATTAAAAAACATATTTTTAATTACAGTGTGTTCACAATTGGTTTTTGTATAGATTACACATACTTGATATAAAATGATGAAACAAAGACATCATGGAACCATCTAGGGTTGGGGAAGAGATAAGGTTTGCCGTGCTATTTTGTATAAAGTTAAAAAAAGAAAACTTTCGTATAATTTTTTATTTGATTTTTTTTTATGAAAAGAAGGGGGGGGGGGGGGGAAGGGGAAAGGCTTTATTATCCCATCGCACACTTAATACGTTGTGGTTGTACATTACAATGTGTTACCATCTACCTTTAAAAATATTTTTAAATAAATACAAATACATGTTTTATATAATCATTTAAAAGTTACAAACAAAACAAAACCAAAATAAATTTATAATTTCTAAAGCTTTTCTATAAAGATTTATAAAAATGTTTTAATACCTTTCCCATCAATTTCATTAGGACGAGGAGCTCTTGTTGTATCTAAGAAAAAAAAAAGAATTTCTTCACTTATCAAGTACTTATTCAACTTCATCATAATCCGTAAGGGTAATTCTGCATCAAATCACCCAAAATTTAGGAAATTTTAAATCATGTATCCTCAAATTTTTTAAAAACTTCTTTGGCTGTTGCATGTTAAAAGAAAAGTTAACACAAAATTTCAGCTAAAAATGTTGAGTGTTTGACAAGATACTGCAATTTTATTGACCTGGTTTCCCAAAATGACCAGGTTTTCATAACATTCTGAAAAAACATTTTTCTTAAAAAATAAGAAATAAAAATGGCAAAAATATGAAAATAAAAAAACAATGTTTTTTTGATGCTGATTTCAATAAATGTACTTAAAATGCTGAAATATTAAAAGAACAAGCTTAAAAGTTAATAAAACAACTAGTTTCTATAAACCAACTTTGGGGCCCATTATCTCAAAATAACCCTGTCAAAATCTTTTTTTTTTGTTGCTGTTAATATTTCCAGCTGCATGTAATCTTACTAGGCACAAAAAATCTAACAGGAAAAACAACTGAAACATATTGAACTTTAATTTCAAAGATATATTAAATTTTCAATAAATTATTTTTAAAAACTTGCAAATAGAATTCCATGAAATATTAAATTTAGTTTATAGACTCCTTAGAAGAAAAAAATTATAAAATTTTTTTGTTATATTTAAGGAAGTCTTAATAATATGATAACTTATCTTAACAACTGAAAAAAACATCCTGTTTTATTTTTATGCAAAAACTGACTAAGCGTGATATTGAAGTAAACTTATTTTGAAATAGTTTGAATTATTTCTATATCAAAAACTTTTTTTTTTCTTACTAAAAATTAAGTAGAAAAAAAGCTTTTTTTTTTTTTTAGGAAATACATTAGGCCGGGTGAATAAAACAAAAAAATTGCTTTTGCTCAGTAATTGGTCAGTTTTACATGAATAAAACTTTAGCAATTTTGCTATAACTTTTATTCACATAAAGCTGAACAATTATTCAGCATTTTTAAAAAAAATTGCTTAGCTTTATGTGAATAAAAATTTGAGGGAGTTTTCTAAAGTTTTTTTGCTGAAAAAAAGCTGAACAATTACTCCAAAAACGCTGAGTAAAAGCAATTGCTTTTTTTTATTCATCCGGCCTATTTATATTAAGTAATTTATCTTAAAATGTGTTCTATTGGCTTAATGACATCAGATGCATGCAAAGGCCAACAAGATGTTATTAAAACTTTAAGCAACGAAGAAAAAATAACTATATTATTATGCTGTAACATTGAACTATCAAACTTAACAATATTATGTGAAAGACATAAACAAAATATTTGAAAATGTATCCTATATGGCAGAAAACATGCTGTGACCCATTCCATAAACATAAAAAGAAAATCACAAGCAAGTAGATGTAGAAATTTATATTTTCCAAAACATAAACAATCTTTTAAACAATTGTGCAGATAAGCTTATACAATTCAACTACTTTCAGCTAAATCTTATAGTAGTTACGATAAATGAGTCACAAGTCATGATGAGAAGTAGTTTGAATATTGCTCCTGCGAAGAAACTTTGCAAACTTTGTAAGCAATAGATTGCCAGAAAAAAAAAAATCTTAAAGAAGAGAAGCAAAGTCAGGATAAAAAAGATGAGGGTTTTCTAATATTATCATTCAAATCGAAAAGACAGGAGATCAATGAAGAACTCGAAAATTTTAATATAGCTCCTCTAAAATCTCATTCAAAATCATTAAAACATATACTCTCAGAAGGAAAGCAAAAAATTGTGCGCATCAACGAAATGGTAAGTAACGTTACTAGAAAAACTGAAAGTCAAGTCAATGTTCCCTTAAAACTGTATTATGAAAAATATAACATGAAAAAGAATGCTGAAATCTTTGATGAAATTATGAGCTTGATAAAAGAAAAAATTCTATGTTCTGACCAAAAGATTATTGTTTTACTTTTAACACTGGCACCCCCAAGTTGGTCGATATTAGAAGTACAAATAACTTTACAGTTACAGAATACAAAGCAAAGATGGCTAAACATGTTTTTAATAAAAAAGGATTATTAGCTATCTCTCCATTGTTTAAAGGTAAAGTCTTACACAAAAAAATTGAAGATTCTGTTAAATTGTTTTATGACTCAAGTGAATTATGTAGAACTATGTCTGGTGCATTTTGCCAGGTGCAAGTGGTACATATTCTGTTTATGTTTGTTCTTATCGCCATACTGCTAGTAGATGCCATACTGCTAAAGATGCTTAAATATTGGACTAAAGTGTAAGGATTTATTTTTAAAAAATGTTTGTTCAGTAGAAAACAAAGAATGCATGCTTGCACAGTGTGATAAGTGTCCTGGTAAAGAACCCCTCACCAAATATTTGTATGAGATTTTTGGAAAATACAAAAATGATTTTGAGATACACTACAAGTAATGGCAAACTAATGATCGTACAACACTATTGAGTTTAACAGCAGATGTTCCAACGTTTGTTGAACTTTTAGTATCTTGCTTTGAAACTAAACTACATCTCATTCTTTTATTGCTCACTCTCAATCACAGTACCTTTACCAAGATGAAATACAAAGCTATCATTGGAGCACCCAACAATGCTCTTTACATCGATTAGTGATATACTATAAAGATGATAAAGGTGTACTGAAACATATTTCTTACTGTTATATATCAGACAACATTACACATTATGCAACTTATGTGTAAAAAATATTCCAACTAATACCAATATTAGAAAAAAAATTTTCTAATCTGTCCAAATTACATTTATTCACTGATGGTTGCGCAGGACAATACAAAAATTGTAAAAGCTTTTATAATGCCAACTAGAGCGCGAATTTGCCCGGAAAGTCACCAAGCAATGGGATTGGTGATGTTGTAAAAAGGTAAACAGCGCAAGAAAGTTTAAAACAACCATACAGAAACCAAATTCTCACATCAGAAGCTAAGTATGAATTTTGTATTGAGAAAATCGAGGTTGTTAACTTCATTTACATAAAGGGATTGGACTTACAATTGCAACGTGAAGAGCAAAAAGAAAGGTACACTGGTGTAACAACTCTACTTAGTACTCATAGCTTTCATTAATTTATACAATTTGAAGATAACAGGGTTGGGACAAAGAGGTGTAGTACAGACACTAATTATACAATAATCCACAATCTTAAAGAGAAACATGATATATTTCAACCTAATACTGTCACTTTAGGAGGTTATGTAGCTGTAGTCTATGATAATAAGTGGTGGATCAGCATTGTAACTGAAACCAACCTAGAAGAAGTTGATGCTAAAATTAAGTTTCTTCACCCAAAAGGTCCATCAATCTGTTTTAACTGGTCTGAAAGAGACAACTACTGTTTTATTCCCAACATCAACATACTGTAAAAACTATCTGTTCCACAAGCTTGCTCTAGTTCTGGTAGAAACTATGTGTTTGAAAATGCTGAAATAGAAGTACAAGTAAAATGGCAAAAATATTGTGAACTATTACAAACAGTCTAAATGACTGACATCTTCGATACCTTTAAAAACCTTGTATATTTAAGTAAATTTTTAAAACACAATATTATAATTAACTTATAAGAAGCTGAAAATATTAACAGCAAAAAAAAAAAAAAAAAATTTGACGGGGTTGTTTTGAGATATTGGGCCCCAAAGTTGGTTTATAGAAACTAGTTGTTTTATTAACTTTTAAGCATGTTTTATTTCTTTTTTCAGCATTTTAAGTACATTTATTGAATTCAGCATCAAAAAAAAATAACATTTTTTAATTTTTATATTTTTGCCATTTTTATTTCTTATTTTTTAAGAAAATTGTTTTTTCAGAATGTTATGACCGGGTCATTTTGGGAAACCAGGTCAATATTAAAATTGCATTATCTTGTCAACTGCTCAACATTTTTAGCTGAAATTTTGCATCCAATATTTTTTTATAATTAGGAATAATGTGTCAAAATATAACACACAAAAAATACACATGGTTCAATGTAATAACTAATTTAAATATAATCTATAATAATCAATTTTAAAAAAATTTGTAATACAAAAAGTAAAAAAATGCTTTTGTGTAACAAAAAGCACAACTGAGACACAATGTTTCATAAAATCTTTGAGAAAACAATGTGGTCTTAAAATATAGAACTTACGTGAAACACTAAACCCAAATTTGGTTGGAAATTCCGTAGTTAACTTTTTTATAAGTGTAGATTTACCACAGCCACTTGGTCCTGATAACACAACAGGGTGTAACTTTTGCGTCATTTTGCGAGCTAAAAAGTTATGCAACAAAATAATATTACAAAATCTATCATTCATAGCTTTATTACTACATACCTGTGTGTGTATGTGTATATATATATATATATATATATATATATATATATATATATATATATATATATATATATATATATATATATATATATATATCAACTCTTGGAATTAGGAAAAATGAGGCAATTGCCAACCTTAAACTGTTAGAGATCAGAATCAGTTTAGCAAAAAAAAAAAAATTGAGACAAAGGGGTTACCATAAAACATAGAAATGATATTAGAGAATTTTTTCCAACCTTGAACACTTTGAGGTTGGCAGTTAGATTAAATGAGTAGAAAACCACATTTTTTATTTTTTACTCAGGCAATGTTAATAAAGACAAAAATTTTCTAATGAGTTTTTAATTAAAGACCATGTAATAATATATATATATATATATATATATATATATATATATATATATATATATATATATATATATATATATATATATTTATATATATATATATATATATATATATATATATATATATATATATATATATATATACAGGGCCGGCGCGAGTAGGTGTCACGTGGGGGGGGGGGGTGCCGTAACATTTTGCCGACTTAAAAAAAAAAAAAAAAAGGGGTCCTTGCTTTCCAAAATTTGCCGACTGCCATGACGACATTTGTCGATGGTCTAGATTAACCTATATCGAAAGGGTCGACATTTGCTGACTAACTAGTCTAAAAGGGTCCAATTTGCCGACTAAAAATCATTGATGGGAGGGGTGTGTATGTGTGTGTTACACCCCTCCCCCCCGTGTGTATTGCGCCGGCCTTGTATATATATATATATATATATATATATATATATATATATATATATATATATATATATATATATATATATATATATATATATATATATATATATATATATATATATCAGGGTGGCCAGACAACTTTAGATTTCATTTTCCCTGACTTACTGATGTAAATTTAACAAATGTAGCAAAAAAAAGGCAACAAATAAAACTCACACAGCTTTACCCAAAAATTAGAATTTTTCTTAAAAACTGTTTACTTTAAGTTAATAAATACTTATAAACAAAAAAATACAATAAAATATAAAGTAAAAAATATATATATATTTTTAGTCTCCATTAAGCAAAAAAAAAAAAAAAAAATTTTGTTACGAAGTCTATCAAAATTCTCAGACTTTTCCATGACTTTTGCAAAATTTAATAAAACTTTTTGACTTTTCAATATAGTTTAGAATAAATTATATTGAAAATGCAATTTATTCTAAAAACTATATTGAAAAGCGAAATTCCTATATATATATATATATATATATATATATATATATATATATATATATATATATATATATATATATATATATATATATATATATATATATATATATATATATATTATATGACATTTAAAGATATTTTTAAAGCCAATACTGCATTATATGAATGATTTTACTTTATATTTATATTGTAACAAAGATTAAATATTTAATAATTTGGAAAAAATCATGTTACTTTATTAATTTATGTATTTAGATAATAGTAAATATTTTTTATGAACAGTAAGTCAAAATTATTATTGGCAATTTTATACAAGGCAAATATACTCTACAGGCACTCTCCATTTAAAGCAACAAAATTAAATTGTATAAGTTAATAAAATTTTGTTAATAAATAAAATAAAATATTTACTGCATTTCTTTCATATTTTATACTTCTTATTATATTTGCAATTATATTGTTTTTTTCCTTTTCTCATACGATGTTAATGATATTTCCACACACTTTTGCAGCAGGACTTTTTTTTTGTAATAAAAAATTAAATAAAAATAAATATACCATATCTTACTAAACTTTGATACATTTAATTTACGTGGAACAATATTTTTTTTCTTTTGAAATACTCATATGTATTTATGCCATTATAAACTGGCTATAAACTTTGTTGTTCAATTATTTAGAAATGCAGCTAAGCTGAAATCAAACACTTGGCTTGAAATGTTTGATTTAAAAATTATAAATATTTAATAGAGTTTAACTGTGTTTGTATACAACGATTTCTGCATAATACTATAAGCTTGAAAAACAATATCATTTAAATAAAAAACGCTAAAAAAATCTGTAACTAAACAACCTGTTCAGCTATTTAATGAAAAAGAAAAGGCGTATCAATACTGTTTTTATTAGGCAGATTACATACCTGATTTTATTGAAGCATCGCCGGAACAGACCAATCCCATGTTATTTATTTATAGATTAAAATCTTAAGTAGCATCAAGATTTATTAAATTATAATAGTTCAAATTTGAAGAGAACGAAACGCAATATGTTCGGAGTATACACTGTAGCCAAGACAACATTAAAAATAAAGTGTTTTTTTTTTGTTCTGTAAAGAAACGTCGTAAAAGTAAAGTTTATGTTTTTGATTAATTATCTTTAGATCTGAAAAACCGAGCGTTTAAAATAAAGTACTTTTCTAAAATAAAAAAACATAGATAAGAAATATGAAATTAAAAATATATACAACTCCACAATTTTTCCTCTCTAAAAACTTAATTACGCTTCTAAAGAATCTAAAGATAACATTAAACAGAAGTGTAACAAATTTTTTCTTTATATTTTTTAAACGCCTATTTTTAATAAATTTAAAAATAGTAAACTAAGAAAATTATTATCACGTAGAAATGAAAAAGACAGATCGATTCAATTATCTATGCTACAAGTGTTTGTGTGCGGAGGGGGAAGCGATAACTACTTTTTCTGAATAAATTTTATAATAAATAAGTTTTTAAACTTTGGTATTCGTAACGATCTTTTCACAGCATTAATCTAGCCTCCTTTCTTATGTGGTGTGTAAAGAGTTTTTTTTTTTTTAAATATTCCAGAATTCGCACTCGGTAGAATTATTTAGAGCTTATAGAGATTAACTCAAAAATCAGACTGGAAATAAAATTAATTGCAATTTTTTAATCGCAATTTATTCAAGCGCAAATTCTGTCAGCACCTTATTAACTCTCGTAGTTTCACTATGAATTATTTTTAATAATTTTCAGACTACAAAAAGAAGTCATTCAGCAACTTTTGAAGCAGAAAGACAATGCCACTAGTTGTCTTCGTAAGGAAATGCCAATAACTCAATAGCTGTCGACTTCTTCACCAAGACAGCTGTCATCTTTGATTGGCGCAAAGTTTTGGAGGCTGTTCAAGCTCTTACACGTTGACAACAGTTGGATGAACTTGCCACCTACAAAATGGGCATATAACGCAGCATATAATAAAGCTGCCGTGTTTGTTCACAATAGCAGAGTTGTTATTGGCATGGCTGAGAGAGCAGTCAGGCTCACCATAGACTTTTAACAATTACAAAGGACAAAATAAAGAGGCAATGCCTATTACAAACAGACCCGCACAGAGACTTTGTGGTGCCCGGGGTCAATTTTTATTCAGTACCCCAAAAATTGGATTCCTTGGTACATTAAGTTAAGCATGAATTTCACTTTTTATTGTCCGTATGTCTACTAACACAGTACAATATAATGAAATCAATAATTATTTTTGTATTAACTGTCGCTGCTCATAAATACTCTATATTTGAACTTGGTTATATATATAATAAAACGAAAATACAAATACAATTTAAAATGAGTGCTATTAAATATTCCGTCAATAAAATGTTAATTATGAAGACTAGTCAGATCGAGCTAATTTCACTTTGCAGGCTTTCTTCTTTGCGAAATTAGAGATGACATTTTCGTACAATAAAGTCTTGACATGGTCGTTTTTTATTGAAATCACCATAAAATTAGTAAGGCATTCTTCAGTCATTATTGATCGCAATTTAGATTTGATGAGAGCAAGTTTACTGAAAGAGTGCTCTCCTTCAGCCACTGAAACCGGGATTGTATTAAAAATGCAAATCAATATGTAGATCAAAGGTAATATTGACTAAAGATCTTGATTCTTTGTCTTGTTTGTGGTCATCAAATTTAGTTTAAATGTTTGAAAAGTAAAAAAAAAAATTAAACTTTTTACATCTAAGATAAATTATATAAGATCCTTAATTTACAAATAAGAGAATTCTATTCTGTTTTAATGCCTGTAATGTTTGTTCAAAATAATAATAATTTTTTATTACAATGATTTTATATATTAGGTAGATGCCCATTCTGTTCCTATTTTCAAAAGTTTATTATATCTATGCAATGCCTTTGCTCAGGTTAAAGAATGGAATAAAAGTCTAGCATCAAATGTATAGCTAACTATTTTAATTTGTGATCAGAGCAACTGGTATGTTTGTTGGATATGATTTTGTATGTTTATGTAGTTAATTCAAAAAACGTTTTATCCTTTGTTATGTAATATGTAACATTTTTTATATATATTAGATCAACGTTCAATTTTTATCATCAAAAGTTAGTTCTACCTTCGCAGGACCTCTGCTCTACATACCTCCTCTCTGGTTAAAGAATGGAATATAAGTCTCATTTATCAAGTTAGTGTAAAAATTTAGCTTGATAAATTAAGAAGTTGTAAACTTTATTATCACAATTGCCAAGTTGACCAAATGTTCTTCTGGTTTTAAATGAATTATGTATGAGTCTAGTATCATCTGGGTGTTCAAAGATAGTTTACTGCTTGAAGAACTTATCAATGGACCAACTAATTATAAAACAGTTTTTAATGAAAATAAAAACGAATTACCAAAAGATTTAAATCAGCTATTTGTGTATATTTAAACACTTTATTTTTTGTGAGAAGAGATTATTGATACAAGTACCATAAAATAATTCTACTACCAAAAGCTAGGTTAATTCAAAACCTTTAACTCAATTTTGGTCATGAATTATTTTATTAGAATTGATGAGTTTTTATTTATTAACTACCTAACACCATATTATTAGAACTTTATTTTGTAATGTAATGATTTTATCAGCGTTCCAAAATAATTTTCTAAATCAAGAACTTCTATATTAAAAAAAAGTACTCATTTAACAACTAATCCCCCCTTATAACGACGTTTTTCATAATTTTGCGAAAAATGTGGTTTGCTTTCACAATTCGATTAAGGCTGTTTTAGTTAACCTTAAATAATTAAGTAAGGATTTTTTGTTTTCATTATTGTCAAACAATAAGTGTGTTTGATAATAACTATTAGGAATACATTTTTCTAATTTTTTTTTGATAAAAAGTAACATCAAATTACAAAAATTTAGCCAAATTCAATATATGTCATATTTATTCTAAACTAAAAGAAGTTTTTCTACTAATGCATTAAATGTCATAAGGTAAAACATTTTATTGATGTCATAATTGTTTTTACAAAACAAAATTACCTCTTATATTTCAAAAGTTATAAAAGTTTTAGTAACACCCCTTTAGTCAATATTTTCAAAAATTAACAAGAAGCCGTTTAGCTCGGTTTGAAACAGCCGTGATATATATATATATATATATATATATATATATATATATATATATATATATATATATATATATATATATATATATATATGTATATATATATATATATATCATATACATATGTATATGTATATACATATATATATATATATATATATTATATGTATATATATGTATATATATATATATATATATATATCATATACGTAATTTTTCTTTCTGACTAAGTTTTTCTTCATCGCTAGAAGAAGATGGAGAACACCATATGAACGAAAACATTCTTGTCGTTTTTTGAGCTGTATCCATTCTGCATCTAATCTGCTGTAGCAGCTTATCCAGAGTAACGTTAAATAAGTTCACCTCAAAACCTTTTGATTCGTCTTCATAAAAGTGAGCTGTGTTCATTGACTTGTCGTGAAGTGTTTTCCTTTTCCTTATCCTCTTCTAAACAAAATCATTTTGAAACCCAAACGAAGCTAACCCAGATGCAACCAGTTTTGCTTCTTAGAGAATTTGGGGTCAAGAAGAACGTAGTCGCTTAAGATCATCAATTAGAGTCTTTAAAAATTTTGTCTCATCATCCAAAGGAATACTTTCTGATTGAAGAAGGAGGCAGATATCGTTAACACAAAGGAGAGCCTTGAACCAGAAAGGAGTCAAGACAACGAATTTAAATTATTGAATCCACTTTTTGAGTGCCTTACCTAAAGCCAGTTGATGATCTTCTATATCAAGCTCTTCAAAAAGTTTCAAAGACTTTAGCATATTTTTTGGTCGTTTCAACATTGGACAGCATTCCGTCTTGTTTGGGACGTTTGGTGAAGGGACTGCCAAGTTGCCTCAGTCAAAACTTTTGAGCGCATGAGACTCTTACTAAAAAGGTCATACAACAATTGCATGTTGCCAAAATAGTTATTAACTATAGTAGAAGATTCTGCAGAATGAACGCCAGCTAGATTAAGACTATGCGCACTGCAAAGCAAGAACAAATCTTGAGGTTTTTTCTGAAGAATAATGGTCTGCACTCCTTTCTATACACCGGACATATTAGCCGTGTTATCATAGCCCTGGCCATGATAACGCAATAAAATCAAAGAACTAAAGTGATTTATTCCGTATGAGACACGTCCGGAGTTCCGTATACAATAATGGAAAATGAATGCCTGTGTGGACATCTTTGTTAATAGCAGTGAAAACAGTTTTACCAATGTCATCATAAACTTATTTTGAGTTCTCCAGCTCAAATTGTGCTATTTTTTTGGTATCGAGAAACTTCTTCTAGATAGAACTGATGTGTCTTATTGTGTTTCCGCAACAGCTCAATGGTAGCTAAAAAATTACCATTATCATTTTCGTCCAGAATGTTTGATGAACCTACACAAATATGAACATAACATTGAAATAAAAATTACATTTAGATTGATATTCAAAGCAGCATAAAAATTATGAACATAAACTGCTAACACACCTCGAAAACTTAGATTTCTTGAAGCTAAATGGAGAGTGACGTCTAGGACGCAGTGTTAAATTTCATACTACTTAGATGCTTCATTTTTTATTGACTTTTCAAGTTCTGAATTGATCCCGGTCTGATTTTTCAAGGCTTTAAAGGATAATTTCCAGACAATGCAGTGATTTTTGCGTTAAACATTATACATTGGCCTTTAATCTTTTCTCCTTGCTTTTACCAATTATCTTTTATTCCGCCATTCCACATCAAGAGAAAAGACTGAAATCCAGGGCTAAAATTATGCTTTTGTCCGAAAATAAAGCAGGGAAAACAAACAAAAGCTTTTGTATTTCCAATCAAATAAGTTAGTCTCTGTTAATCTTCTCCCCGTTGAGAGAAGTTTCATAAAGAAACGGAGGCAGAAACTTTTTTAATTTGATAAAACCTTCTTTCACAAAGCGGGTTCGTTTCTAACTGCTTGATCACCCAGTTGAATTGCCTCTTAATCTTAAATTAAAAAAAACATTTAGAAATTGTGGCACGATTTTAATATCTGCAGATATTAAATGATATGTTTTTAATGTCAGCAGGTTTTTCAATGCGTCCCAAAACTTACCCGATTATCATCTCGAATGCGTCCCAAACTTACCCGATTATCATCTTTTTCTTTGATTGTTTAAAAATGTGAAACTGTTGTGAAGGGGAAGATGACTTTCTTGAACTCAAGAGTTTATCAACTCTTGAGTTCAAGAAAGTCGGTAGCATAGTCAGTCTAAAAAATAACTTTTTTTTTACAGTTTTAGAATGAAATTATAAATATAAGATTGTGAATAAAAAAAAAAAGCTGTTAGCATATACCTTGACTACATGGTCAGACTTTTTCTACTGTTTTTTTTTTCTGCCTTGGGACCCATTCAGGGTCCCAAGGCAGAAAAAAATGTGCTTTCGAAAACTTGACATGACGTTTTTACTCTAAGATGTGTGTTACTTATTTAAAAAAAAAATAAAACAGTTTTTCATTTGCTCCTAAATCGAAATGAATTTTTTATATAGAATTTAGTTCTTAAAGGAATCAAAGAGAAAAAGAACTAAATGCAATTTCACAATATCAAGTTAATTGAAATGAATGTATTGAGAAAGAATATTTGAAAAGTGTTGGAATTGATAATGTTTTAAAACGAGCCTTATGTTCGGATGAGATCGTCCATAAATTACGCAACACAAAACTTTTTTAAAAAATATAAGTAGGAGATCATTTTGCTCATTTTCGCGGTGGTTTTTGCTGGACTTGAAGGGTGTTTATATTCTTGGTTTAATTAAAGACTCTGCGAAAGAAAACTTTTAATCCTTTTTCTTTTGTCTATTAGTTAAATTTCGCGTTACGTAATTTATGGACGATCCCTAAGTGTTATGTAATTCGAATTTTAAATACATTTAAATTGGAGCCATTGCAATCAGTCCTCCCACGCAAAAAAATATATAAAATAAACTGCTAACACACCTGGAAATAAACTGCTAACACACCTCGAAATTTCCATTTAACTTAATCTTGCATTTCATTTTATGTTATTAAATTTAAAAATCTTAGAAAATATGTTACATAAAAAAAAATCTTTTATTTTGTCCTCAATCTTTTGCTTAAAATTATGCAAATAATCTTCCTTTTTTTTTTGCTATTTGATTAGGGATTGTCTATAAAGTAAAGGTACGCTCGCAGAGGAAAAGGGGTCTGCAATTGGCGTATATGAGATGGGGGGCCTGGAGGTCAGTTATAAAAGTATGGAGACACTAAATTAAAAAAATATCATAAAATGTTGGGTTGGTAGGTTAAAAGCGTAGGTACTTTTAGGGAGGTAAAGGGTACTCTATGGCAAAACGTGAGGGGAGGGAGTCAAAAAAAAAGCGTACGTACTTTATGAACAACCCCTAATTTGCTTGTCTGAAAGTTTGTCGTTTGATAAATTTACAATAAATACATAATACATATATAAATTTAAGCCAGAGTAAGAAGAAGACATAAACTGTTTATCACCGAGCCCCGTTTACATATTGTCTGAGTTTATATAAAAGCAAATATATACATAATCCGTTTTAAAATACACACAAATTTTGCAAAATGCTAAAAATGTCATTAAAAGAGCGTGAAACTAAAATATATTTCTACTGATTTAAGATAAAAGTAATGCATATATATTAATGCATACATATTAATATACATATATATTAATGCATACACATTTTTTATATTAATGTTTAATAAAATATATTCATTTAATGATAATAACAACGTTTTTTTTTTCTATTTTAAATTAAATTTAGAATAATAAATATTTGAAGTCTGTTTTAATAAATTCTAATTGTAATAAGAGTCTTTTCTAATTGTAATAAGATTCTGTTTTAAATTTCTCCTAGGAGTAGTGCTCTAAACAATTATTAAAATTTTAATAAAATCTTTTTTTGATGGTCCTTTTGATGCGCCCCTTTACAGGATAAACTTTTTAATAGAGTTTACTGTAAATGCATCAATTACATCCTCTGCTAGTTTATTCCAACGGTTTGCAACACGGTTTGTAAAAAAGTATCGACGTTCGGAATAATCTTTAATTATTTGGGGTCTTAAACAATTTAAATAATTAGTTAGAGTTTTAAACAACAAGCCATTTTTTAAAACTATATGCTGAGTTTGATGAAGAAAGACTGTAGTTGTAGAATATAAAATTCAACTTATTATTAATGAGAAGCAATTTTTTATTGCAGAATGAAGTTACTGTGGATTTAAGTCGAGTTTTTTTAGTGTTTGATTGTAACTAAAATCTTTAATTAAAGATATTGTACATTGTTGGACTCTTTTGATTAGAGCATTTTTGTTTTGTTTTTGTTCATGTACATGTTTTCTTGAAATCCACAGTAAACTGCTTTCTTTAAAATTCAATTAGTTTTGTTAGGCAATCTTTGTGAGGTATAAATCCATGTTGAGATTTTGATGTTAAATTGAGCACAGTATTTCATAATCTTTTATTTTCAGGAAACTGGATATAATTAGGCTCTACTTACTATATACTATATACTTACTAATAGAAATGGATTCCATGAATACCTATAATGATAGCCAGGTTATCTACCTAATTTTTACACTAAGAAAAAACTACACAATTTACATGAACCTAAATAATAAACTAAATCTACATTTTAATTTAAAGTCTCTAAAAATAAATAAATACACAACAATATTAAGATAATTATTTTTATTTATTTCAAATAGTTGAAATAGTTCAATAAATTGTTTAAAAGCTAAATTTTTAACACTCTTAACATTTCAGTACTTTTTTCACACATTAAGTCGATGACTTGATCCGGTGTAACGTCTGCCAACAATTCCCTTTCAAAGTTCATCAAAAACAATGATTCCAAATTCTTCTGCGTTAAACAACTTCTTAAACGTGTTTTTATTATTTTATGTTTTGAAAACGATCCTTCACACGTTACTTTAGTGCGGGGAGTTGTAAAAAGAAACTATATACTTCAAATAATACATATTGAATTCATGAATAACATTTGTTACGCATATCAATCAATCAATCATTTATTTTTTATATTAAGGTTTTACATTCAAGGATGTTTACAAATAGTAAATATACTAATATAAAGTAAACACCTACTAATGTTAATAATATCTAATTAAAATAAATATAATACTAATTTTCACAATATATAATAACGATAATAAACTTTATAACATAAAATAACGATGTTAAAACAATAATAACAATAACAATAATAACAATAATAACAATAATAATAATAATAATAATAATAATAATAGCAATAGTAATAATATTAATAATAATAATAATAACAATAATAATAACAATAATAATAATAATAATAATAATAATAATAATAATAATAATAATAATAATAATAATAATAATAATAGCAATAATAATAATAATGATTTAAAAAAAAAAAAAAAAGTCGTAATGCTATTGATAATAGTAAGTAAAAATAATTGATTAATAAACCATACTTTGATGATAATAATAAAAAATAAACAATAAAGAATTTAATGATTTAGTTGTAGCGTGGCCTACTATATTACACGGCCGTACATATACTATATTACACGGCCGTGTATGTTACATTTTAGAGGCCGATTCTAAGAGGCCTATTATAAAAAAAGATGGCTGCGCAACTATAGAGAAAGCATATAACTATATCTCGTCTAGACTAAATAGATAGTATAAATATAATATTACGAGTAGGAATATTATTAATAAAAAAGTACTCACAAAAAACTGGCATTTTTTGCTTTCATACTAGCGATTTATGTATTTATAAACATATATATCTATGTATATATATATATATATATATATATATATATATATATATATATATATATATATTATATATATATATATATATATATATATATATATATATATATATATACATGTATATATATATATATATATATATATATATATATATATATATATATATATATATATATATATATATATATATATATATATATATATATATATATATTTGTATCTATAATATATATTTTTACAGTCGACTCTCGATATCTTGAATACTTGATATCTCGAACTTTTGAGTATCTCGAACTTTTTTAGCGGTCTCATGAACATAACATTTTTAAATTCGATTTTTTTTAAAAATCGAATTTCTGAAAAGTTTTCCTTTAATATATTGATTTATTCTTTTTGTCTAACGCCGCTCGTTAAACGAAAACTCACGATCAAATCTATAATAGGAAAATGCAAGGCATTAAAAGACCTAGAGACAGGGATGTCTAACATGGAGGTTGCCAAAAAGTATGGAGCCCCAAAGAACACATTATCAACCTGGATTAAAAATAAAACCAAGTTATTAACCTCACTGGAAAAAAATGGCACAAAATCTAAACGGAAGAAACTTCGTAGTGGTAATTTCAAAAATGTAGACAAGGCCATATACACGTGGTTCGTTGCAAAAAGAAGTCAACAAGTACCAATTGATGGTACCATACTAAAAGAAAAGGCACTAAAATTTGCAGATGCATTAGGAGAGTTGGATTTTAAAGCATCTGATTGTTGGTTTCATAATTGGAAAGAAAGGTCAGTTAAATTTTGTCAAATCTTGTTCAATTTTAATATAAACAAATAACATGTATATGTTTATATTTAATTTATTTAGTTTTTTAAACGTGTAATTAAAATTCAATTATTCTGTTCCTATTTGTAGGAACGGCATCAGCTTTAAAATAATCTCAGGCGAAAGTGCTGCCCTGACGAATAATATGATTGCTTCGTGGAATGAAACTACACTTCCAACATTGCTTTTGAATTACAAACTTGAAAACATTTTCAATGCCGATGAGTTTGGACTATTTTACCAGTGCCTACCAAACAAAACATACCATTTATCACGAGAAAAATGTTTTGGGGGAAAAAATAGTCAAGTCAGACTAACAGGCATAGCAGCAGGGAGTGCAACGGGAGAAAAATTACCTATGTTTGTTATTGGAAAATCTAAAAACCCACGGTGTTTTAATCACATTAAACAACTTCCTTGCACATATAAAAATCAGCTAAAAAGTTAAATGACCGGAGACCTTTTTACAGAATGGGTAATGAAACTTGACTCATTTTTTCGTGCTCAAGACAGGAAAGTAGCACTCCTGGTGGATAACTGTTCTTCCCACCCACACATTGAAGGGCTAAGCAACATCAACCTAACATTTTTTCCCCCTGACACCATATTTGTCCTTCAGCCCATGGATCAAGGCGTAATACGAAGTCTTAAAGATCATTATCGTTACAAAATTGTGCGTTTGTGTATCAAGGCTGTCGATAATAACGAACCCAGCCATAAATTTCTATACTTCAAGCAATGAAAGATCTTGTTTCTTCATGGAATGCTGTGTCGAAGGAGGTTGTCATCAACTGCTTTAAAAAAGCTAGTATCAGCAAAACAAACAAGAGTATTGAAGAAGCTGATGATGATCATCCTTTTAAATTTTTGACAGAAAAACTTAACCATTTGCGAGAGTTAGATCCTCGTGCCGTTCAAGAAGATCTCTCAGCGGAATCTTACATTGATTTAGATTGCGATAAAGTAACCACCGGTTTACTTGCTACTGATGCTGAAATCATTGCTCAGATTTTAGACCCTAATTTTGAAAACGACGATAATGAAGTTGAAGATAGCGTTGACGAAGCTATTGACGTCGAAGCCCCGCCACGCCCATCTGATATTCAATTAGAAATTGCTTTTGAAACGATTCAAAATGCTTCGCTATACAGCTCAAAATACGGAAATGAAATACAATCTCTAACACTAAAACTTGAGGATTTAATGAAGATGGAAAAGATGGATAATATCAGATAACAGATTTTTTCCAAACGTTCTAGTTTTTGTTGTTAATGATTTTTGTCAGAAAAATAACTTGTTTTAATGAAAGTCGGGCAATTTTATTTATTTTCAACCCTTTTCTTGATATCTCGAACTCTCGATATCTCGAACTTTTTTTCCGGTCCCCTTAGTGTTTGAGATATCGAGAGTCGACTGTATACATAACACAATTGAATTGATAACAATGGGAATTTACAAAAAAAAAGGTTAAACTTTGTGTTTTTTTTATGTTATTATATATTTATGTTTTGTTTTTTCCTCCTTTTTTATTAAAGTATCATTTTTCTCTCTGTCTACTTTTAAAACTTTTAACAGCATCTTTTCGTACAGTGGCATTGATTATCTTCTGCTTATTGTTAAAAAAGACATTAATTATAATTTTAGAAGCAAATTTAAACCCCCATTCTTTGTGTAAATCGCAAGTAAAGCAAACTGTTAGAAAGTATTTTGATGAAACAAAGCTTGATACATCTTTGACATTAGCACCTTGTTTAGTTATTAAATTTGAAAGATTATCTAAGACTGCAAAACATCTACGTATGTAATCCTTAAGTGAAAGTGAAGGTCCAGAAAGACCGCCTCGGTCTTACTGTGCCTTCATATACATCTATAGCTTATTCTTGCATCTATAGCAAGCATTGACTTACAATCACTACATTTGCTTCTTTTTATCAATTTCTTTGCTATATAACCAGCAATTGGTTATATAGCAAAGAAATTGATAAAAAATTGGCAACTTCTTCTGTTTCAGGTGATAGAGTTAATTCTAATATCTCATTTGAATTTAAATCTAATGTTATAAGTAATTCATCATTAATTGGGCTATCATAATTGTTCTTTAAATCTTCATCCCAAAAATTTACATTCTCATTAATTAACGTTCGACATGCTAAAATGCAGAGTTTTGATAAGAGCAGATAATGTTTGTTTAGATAAGGTAAAAAATGAAGATTTCTGCCAAAGTTAAATCCAATCAGTTAGTTGCCTAAAAATTTAGTGGTAGTTTTACCATTATTACCAAGTTTATAAATTGTTGTTTTGAATTTGAAACAGTCCATCATTTTTGAAAAGTATTTAAAAAACCAGAAATGTCATTTCTTTCAGGAAAATAACTTTTAAAACTTGCAATTGTTATTTCATCAAAAGTCGACAGTACAAGAGAAACATTTTGCTTTTTATTACCAGGGTGATATGTAATTTTTCGAGCTTTTTTTAAATTACCTTGAAGTTGTTAATCTTTAGAATGTAGAAGATGAAAATCTCCCCAAGTTATATAACCAGATGGATAATTATAGACATCATCTTTTATATTATAAGTAAATGATCGAAAGACAAATTTTTTGCAGTGTAATAAATTATTTTTAACAATATGAACACAATCATAAAAAAAGTATATTTTAATATTTGGACTATCAGGATGATAAATAAATAAATTTGACTGATTACCAAATTTCAAATGAAGCAAATTAAATGCATTTACATTTGCTTGATGATTGTCAGTAACAACTCCTCGAATTTTAAAACCAAATAAAGAAAGAGAACTAATAGAATCTGATATTTGCTCTGAAAGCCATTTACCACTAATGGTAACTTCAGGTACTGCTTTTATGACATAAGGAATAGATTTCTTTATTTCTTTTCTATTATATCTTCATGTATTGAACCCTTCTCACGAAGTGTTTTAACAGCCTTTATTGCATCAACTCTACCTTGTTTAATTTTATTTAATAAAGAAATTGAAGGTAATGGAAACAATTCAAGTAAAATTTCGTATGCTTGTTTAGATCTATATTTTAATAATAAAGCGTGTCTGATCATATCTGCAGAATATTGTGGTTGACATTTTGCTTTATAGTATATTCTACTATTTATTTCCTCAAGAAGTATATTTCTATTAGAAGAAGCAGTGTTTTTTATGTACGATGCAAGATTTTCTAACATACTCAAACTAGTTAACTTGCCGTTATGACCTTTAGTTAACCATGGAGGCAGTGGAACATTATTTCCTTTGTATTGCAAAGCTACAAATAAACAATGATCAATTTTTATTGATTCAAGAACAGAAGGAAAATGCGTTAAAGGATCAAGTATTAAATTGTAATAAATAACACAACTGAGATGTTTTTTAAATTGAAAACCTTCTGGTAAATATTTACTGTTTAACTTGTTCCATTCAGTTATTTTATCATTTTCAGAAAAAAAACTAAGTTCATCTTGTTGAAAAGTACGAGTTTTAGGTGGTCTACTTAAAGCAATAGGTGATGGTAGTGTGGAAGGCCGTTTTAATCATTTGCTTGAGAAAATTTCAGGGTTTAAATTTAACTTGCTTTTTATACCTCGAATAATGTACTTTTTATTAAAATGCTTTTCACATACAACAGAATTTGGTGAAAGCACCTAATCACTACGGTTTAAAAAACGAGCCCAATAATTTAGCAACTGTTGATTTTTTAACGGAAAATGAAAAGAAGCAACTGCAACACACTTGTTAACCATATTATTCAGCTTTGTTAATATTAATAAATTATCTAAAATAACATTATATATATATATATATATATATATATATATATATATATATATATATATATATATATATATATATATATATATATATATATATATATATATATATATATATATATATATATATATATATATATATATAAACAAATATATTTAATGTTTTTTTAATATTGCACTGTCATTATTTTGTTGCGTAAATAGGCCTCTTAGAATCGGCCTCTAAAACTTACACGGCCGTGTAATATGGTTGGCCGTGGTTGTAGTAATCATAATTAAAAAAAATAAAAATAGGTAAAAAAAAATTAAGTGAAAATCATATTAATAAGTTAGAACAAAATTGTTTTCAGAACTTTCAAAATAGGTTTTGTGTAAGATTAAGAAAAGATAAAGGTGTTTAAAATTGTAGTTTTTTGAACTCATTCACTATGCATACAAGACTCTTGTTCCATTCACAAATGCACTGATAGACAAAAATCAATAATAGAATACGATTGTAAAACAATATTCTGGTTCACTGGTTATAATAATATATTATTATGATATTTCGATCTGAATAAATGAAATAATTAAAATAAAGGAAAATGTAGTTACTTCTGACTATACATATGGATTAGTTAAATTTAAGATAATATTATTATACCTTGTCCTCCTTGATTTTATATGAACATTAAATTCGATATGGGTTTATTTATAAGTAAATCAACCGCACGCACTCAATTGTGACTTAATAAATATTTTACTCTCAATTGTGACTTAATAATATTTATTAAAATATTAAAATTAAATTTACTAAAATTGTGTTTAAAAACACAATGGCATAAACGCCAAATATTGTGCATACGAAAAAATAAAAAAACGCGGCATTAACAAGAGTGCAAACCTAGACCAACCACTAATACAAAAACACGTCATGTGATGCGCACGGTTCTAATTACTACTTGATCTGGTTTTCACGATAATCTTGAGTTCGACAACGAGAATGTTATCATATTATTAATTACTTCAATCAATGCTAAATAAATAGATAATTCAGGTACTTATAGCAATTATAGTTTTTTATCATTTATTATGTACTAAACAAAAAAAATCATATTAATACATACGAAACACGACAAGGACTGGTAAGTACTACGTAATAATAATTATTGAAGTTTTAATACTTACACTCATTATTCCAATAGTAGGCTGCTTTTACATAGAATATTCTGTGTAATAATTTCAAAGTCCTGTCTTAATATTATTATTTTATTATATATAAGCAGGGCCCTATCGAGCCAACTTTGCGCTTCGGGCAAGAAAGGAAAATTGCACATCTTCCCCCCCTTCCTTCCCCACTCACCCACTCCCTCCAAAAAAAATAATTAAAGTTAAAAAACGATTTATTGATCACAAAATTGATCATATCAAGTGTAAGTTACGATTTGTCATGAATACTGCACAAACTTCAGTTCAAATTAACTTTTCTAGCTTTTTTGGATGCAAGTTCACTAATGATGTCATCAAAATCAAAGTTGTCGACCATTTTATGTTCAATTGAAACTAAAGCCAGACTAGACAAACGTTCTTGCCGCATAGTTAATCTCATGTAGTTTTTTATAAACTTAAGTTTACTGAAACTTCTTTTACGCGAAGCAACTGTGACTGGTATGGTAAGGAAAATGC